TGCTGTATCAGCGCATCAACGTGCTGTCCTCGGTGGTCTCGCGCCTGCCGGGCCTGGACGCCGCCCTCCTGCCATCCGCCGCGGCGGGCGCTGCCGCCGCCGCGGCGGGCGCCGCGGCGAGCGCGGCAGTGGGTGCGGCGGGCGGCGGGGAGGGCGGGAAGCGGCAGCGGGCGGAGTCGGCGGGCGCAGGTGGCGCCGTCGCGCAGGGGCCGGCGCGGCCGGCGGCGGACAAGCCCGCGGTGGGGCCGCCGCGCGACGGGAAGCAGCGGCTGTCCGAGCTTGAGGCGTCAGAGGCGCGTGCGGCCAAGGAGACCCTGGGCGGTTGGCTTATGGAGAAGCAAGGCGGCCAGCAGCAGCAGCAGCAGGCGCAGGCGCAGGGGCAGGCGTACGCAGCGGCCGCGGGGGCGGACGGCGCGCGGGGGGCGGACGCGGCGGCGCGGCTGTCAGTGCTGCAGGCGTTCAGGGACCGAGCAAAGGTGCGGCGGCGCCAGCAAACCTTAGCCGCCACCGCTGCCGGGCCGCCTGCATGACTGATGTCTCATTTGCATATCGGCGCATCATGATCGCAGGGGATTGCGCCGGTGCTGCTGCGTCCGCATTGGCACAAATCATTCACATGCGCTGCCTCCTGCTGCCGCCGCAGGCAACCCCGGAGCCCGGGCCCCCGCCGCCCGCGTTCAGCGGACTGCCCGGCCTCCTGCGATTTGGTTCTCAACGGACCACCACGGCAGATTCCGAGCCTTTCCTCATAGGCACGCGCCCCGCGCGCGGAACAACAGACGCCAGCGAGGCGCTCGGTGATCTAGGGGCCGACGCCGGCGATGATCTGGGCGATCTGAAGATCGGAGTCCTCGGGTTTGAGGCCAGCAGGGCAGACTTGGGCGACCCGGCTTGGCCGAGCAGCGCTGGAGCTGGCACCCGCCGCCGCAACCGCACGCACGGGGCTCGCGGCGGCCAGGGCGGCAGCGGGGCCAGCAGCAGCAGGCATGGAGGCGGCGGGGACGACGCGGGGGGCGACAGCGACAGCACCGTCGCCGGCCGCATCGCCCAGCGGGCGCGCTTCCTGTTTGGGGGCTCCGCATCGCCCTCGATCGGGGGCTCTGAAGCCGGCTGCGCGGAGGGCGGCACTGGTGCAGGTGCCCTCCTTGCAGGAGAGGGGTCGCAGGGCGGCCTGGGGTACGCGGAGGCGGCGCCCTCCCTGCCAGCCGCAGGCACGCAGCAGGTGTGGCAGCCGCAGGAGCCGGCGCAAGACATGCAGCAACAGCAGCAGCAGCAGTGGCAGCCTGAGCAGCGACAGCAGTGGCAACAGCGGCGGCGCGACAGCAAGCGGCGGTCAGACGCCGGTGGGGGGGCCGACGGCGGCGGCGGCGCTGACAACCAGCGGAGGGCGGCCCTGGAGGCTCAAAATCACGTGTCATGCGAGGAGATCGTTGTTCAGTTTGAGGCGGCCCTCGCAGACCCCAAGACCCGCCGCGACCTCGCGCGGGCGCTCAGCCCGCAGAGGGCCCCCCTGCCTGTGCCCGCGCCCACGACGGGCGCGCCAGTGGCTCGCGATCCTTGCCACCGGCCGGGCCGGGGCGCTGCGGAGGGCGAGGGGGGCGGGGCTTGGGCGCCGCTGGTGCAAGGTGAGAGCCGACCCTCCCATGAGTGGCTGCTGCCGGCGTGCTTTGGTGACCCGACGCCCTGCGATGTGCTTTCCTGGCCTCCTGCTGCAAATGCAAATCCATGCGGCGTGAGCCGTTTCGTCACAACCCACCCCTGAATTGCAGGCGACAGCTACAGCATTATCAGTGCCGTGCTGCATAAGCGCCTCTCCGCCCAAGCCGCGGCCGCCGCGGCGGCCGCCGCCGCGCTGTCGCCGCCACACGGCGCAGCTGCAGGGCCGGCGTCGGCCCCGGCGCTGGCAGCGGCGTCGCCCGCGGCCGGCGTCGGCCCTGCGGCCGACCTGCCAGATGTGACCCGCCACCTGCTGCCTCCTGCCCCGACGCCGCAGCCCCTGAGGTCGCCGACGGAGGCGGCGCCTGTGCCCCAGCAGCAGCAGCAGCAGCAGCAGACTTTCCATGCTTGGCCTGACGCCGGGGACGGCCCCGGCGCCCGTGAGACAAGCGGTGGCGGGTCCGCAAGGAGCGGCGCGGCCGGCAGCGCCGCATTCTCTGCGGAGACGTCACGCCTCGCAACAATGGCCGGCCCCGCAGGCTTCGCCGCGCCCACTGCTGAGTCGTCCGTCGCCTCGGTCCAGGGGCCGCCAGGGCAGCTGTCCAGCCGCGCGAGCGCCGCCGGCGCGGCGGGGGCTGGCGAGCGCCCGCAGCGCCTGGAGGCACTGGAGGCGGAGGTGCACGCGCTGAGGGCGGCGCAACAGCTCGCGGCCGCGGGGGCGGCGGCGGCAGGGACTGGGGAGGAGCGGGACCGTCGGCCGAACGAGCCTGCAGCACGTGCGGGCTCTGGCACACAGCCGCAGTGGGGGCCGGAGCAGCAGCAGCGGCAGCAGCAGCAGCAGCAGCAACAGCAGCAACAGCAGCAACAGCAGCAGCAACAGCAGCAACAGCAGCAGCAGCAGCAGCAGCAGCAGCAGCAGGCGGCGCACACAGACCAACTGCTGGAGCTTCTGTGTGCCGCCCAGCACGCCGCGCACGGAGAGCAGGTGGGCCGCAAGGCGACGCCGACGGGGCCGTGCAGATGCTGGTGGCCATTGTTTGATGGTGCATCGTGTGCACGCATACGCTTGTGTGTACACACTGCATCGCTGCAATCCCCTGGGGTATCTGCTGCGCCGGCCTCATACGACGACACTTGTGCAGCAAAACGATTGCAAACAATTCGCCGTTGCACTCCTTTGACCGCAGGCCGAACTGTCGTCAGCGCTGGCGATGCAGCTGGCACGAGGCATAGAGGAGGGCGTGGCGCACCTGAAGGAGGCGCTGCCGCCGCTGATCCTGGGACACCTTAGCCCGCGGCAGCACGGCCTGCAGGCTCGCCCGCTGGAGAGCTCGGGAGCGGCGCGCCCATGCCGGCGGCGCGACGGCGACGCACGCGTGCTTGCGCGGCGGCGCCGCCAGGGGGCTGCTCGCCACCACCGCCACGCGGCCGGTGGCGGGGGCCACGACAGCAGCAGCACCAGCAGTAGCGGGGGATCGAGCCCATCAGACGCAGACGACGAGGCCGCAGCAAGCCTCCTGGAGTCGGCGGCGCGGCACGCGCAGCTGGTGGGCAGCGATACGGCTGGCTTGGGGTTCGGCCACAGCCACCGCCTGCCCGCACAAGGGCAGGCACAGGAGCATAGGGCGGGCACGATACAAGGATGGCAAGCCTTACGACAGCAGCAGCAGCAGCAGCAGCAGCAGCAGCAGCAGCAGCAGCAGCCGTCTTTGCAGCAGGAGCCATCGGCAGGCGGCAGCTCTCTCGCGGGCTCAATCCTTACGGTTTCCGAGGAGCAGGCGGCCAACGAGGTGATCTCGATCTGAGCTGCGGGGTTATTATCGATGGCAACACTGCACATGCAAGCACGTAGATCAGAAGTCAGGGCTACCATTGAAGTCGCCGGCAACGCCGCATCCCTCTGGCGCTTCAAATCAGCCCGTGCCGGCACCATCTGACTCCGCAACCACCCGCTTGTCAACCGTCGTCGCCCCCAGGTGGCTCGCCTCACCGCTGAGCTGTCGCAGCTGCGGGCGGCCGTCCAGCTTAAGCTGCTGCGCGTCGCAGCGCACGCGGCCCAGCTGGAGGGGGACCCAACCGGTCAGGAGCGCGTGCGGCTGGTGGGGCTAATCGCCAAGGCGGAGGTGCGTGAGGGGCCGGGGGCGGCCGGCGTCTTATGTCCGATGGCAGCCACGAGCGTTGGGCCTCTTGCCTTGCGCCCCGCAGCAGGCCGGCACACAGCAGTCTGTTCTTGGTCCGCATGGCGCCCAGGGAACACTGTCGGGAGAACTGCAGTTTCATCTTTTTTTTTTGAGCTGCCTGAACCCTAATTTTGCCACTTTGTAATCCGCCCCAGGCTGACCTGGCGGAGCGGCAGCTGGAGGGGCGCCTCCAGCAAGCCCAGGAGCGCCTCGCCCTCGCGCGCTGGATCGGCGCTCTTAAGGGGTCCCACGCCGCCGCGGCAGCAGCCGCCCCCGTCCCCGCCGCCGGCACGGCAGCGCCCGCTGCGGCGGCTGGCGCGCGCCCTGACGTCGACGTTGGCGCCGCCGCCGAAGCTCCTGCAGCCCGGCTCGCGTCGGGCGCTGGCGGCGGCGGCGTTGAGGTGGGCGACGGCTTTGCAGCCGCCAGCCTGCGGAATGGTGCTTGTGACGCTGCAGGTGCTGCAGGTGCTGCATTCCCGCCCCCAGAGAGAGCCGAGTCGCCGCCTCTGGCACGCGCCAACCCCGACGCGCCCGCGCCGGCGCAGCAAGGCGCCGACGGCGCGGCCGCGCCCGCGCTGCGGCCGCGGCGGCTGTCGCTGCAAGACAGCCTGGAGGAGCAGGAGGCGCGCGTGTTTGCGCTGCAGCGGCTGGTGGCGCAGCGCCAGCGCGACGCGCGCAAGGCTCAGCTGGCGGACCAAGAGAAGGAGCTGCTGCGCCAGCTGGCGCGGCTGGAGGGCGGAGGCAAGGCCGCAAAAGACGTGGAGAGGGTAGCTCCTACGCCGTCGCAGCAGCAGCAGCAGCACCAGCACCAGCAGCAGCAGCAGCAGCGTGATTGGTATGCCGAGGTTGAAGCGAAGCGCGTCATCAAGGCCGGTGATTGCGCCCTGCGGGAGGAGGCAGCCGCCGCGGCGGCGGTGGCGGCAGCGGACATGGCTGCGCTCGCGGCAATCGAGGCGCTCGGCCAGGTGGAGGGTCAACAGGAGGTCCTTGAGGCGCGCGATGAGGGGCGGCCAATCGCGGGGCGCGAGTGGGACTGGCGCCAGTGGCGCCAAGCGAGCGCTCAGCCCCTTGAGTCTCCGCACGCGGAGCGCCCGCCGCGTGCTGACGGCGTGCCACGCGCCGTCGCGGGTGCGCCCGCAACCGGCAGCGGCGGCGCGGGCAAGCCGCCGCGAGTGCCTGCGCCCGTGGCCGTGCCGCGGCGGCTGTCGGAGAGGAGCCGCCTGTGGGGGGAGATGGTTGCGGAGCTCGAGGAGCTCTTCAGGCGGCGCCGGGCTGCAGGCACGGCCGAGGAAGGTGCCGCGGCTGAACACGACATCGCCGGCGTCGCGCGGGCGGGCGAGGCGCACGCGGTGTTGGCGGGTGCGGTCGGCGGCGGCGCTCTGGACGACCTTGTGGCGCAAGCGGCGGCGGCGGCGAGCGCGCGCTTGCAGGCGCCCGGCGGCGAGCCTCGGGGCGGCGCAGAGGACTGGCGGGCGTGGCGGCGGCAGTGGCAGCAGCAGCACCAGGTTGCGGGCGGCGACGGCTCCGCAGCGCAGGCGGGGCTGGGCGGGGCGGACGGGCGAGCCTGGGCACAGCCGAAGGAGCAGCAGCCAAGCGCGGCGGAGGAGCAGGCAGCGGTGCGGCACCTTCGGCGAGAGCTGTCAGACCGGTCGCGGCTGTGGGGGCTCATGGTGCAGGAGATGCAGGAGTGGTTTGAGGCACGCGAGCGCCGCGGCCACTCCGCGGTCGAGGCCGCCGGCGCCGAGGCCGCCGGCCGGCTTGCGGAACCGCCGGCGCGCGCGGTTGCGGCACAGGAGTTGGCGGGACTGGAGCCACCTGCGGGCGGCCCTGTGCGTGCAAACGGTGCGGCTTCGGGCGACCTGCCAGTCTCTGCTCATGCCTTGGCCGTCCGGGCGGACGCAGCCGCGGCAGAGGCAGACGCAAGCGCGCCGCAAGCAGCCGCGGCGCCGCAGGCGCCAGCACCCGACGCCGCAGCGGCCGCAGCGCAGGCAGGCACAGCCGCAGTTGCCGCTGCGCCCGAGGCATCGGCCTTGCCGCCGTCGCAGGAGGCAAGCCGCGGCCCCGCGCATGGGGCGGCCGATGTTTTGCCCTCTGCTGCCGCATCTCCTGGGAGCGACGCAGCCCTCGACCTGCTTCTTGCCCAGGGCCAGCGAGCCCTCGCATGCGACGGCCCAGCGCCCTCCCCCATGCGCGAGGTGGCGGATGGGGAGGCAGTGCACTCCCGGGCGCGGACGGAGGGCGTGGAGACGCTGATGCCGGCGGCGGCGGCGGCAGCAGCGGCGGCCTGGGAGGTGCCAATAAAGATTGCGGGCACGCTGCAGCCTGCGAGCGATGCTGTGGAGTTCTGGGCGCCGCCAGAGCAAGCGGATGGGGAGGAGGAGGGGTCGGTGCAGGGGCAGATGGAGGATGAAGCAGAGGTGCTGCTGCAGCACCTTGCACCCCAGCAGCAGCAGGAGTGGCAGCAGCTGCAGATGCAGCAGCAGCAGCAGGAGCAGCAGCAGGAGGAGCTGTTGCGGCAGGAGCAGCAGCAGGAAGAGCCGCTACGGCAGCCGCAGCAGCAGCAGGAAGAGCTGCTGCGGCAGGAGCAGCAGCAGGAAGAGCTGTGGCAGCAGCAGCAGCAGCAGCAGCAGCAGCAGCAGCGAGAAGAGCTGCTGCGGCAGGAGCAGCAGCAGGAAGAGCTGCGGCAGCAGCAGCAGCAGGAGGAAAAGCTGCTGCGGCAGGAGCAGCAGCAGGAAGAGCTGCGGCAGCAGCAGCAGCAGCAGCAGCAGCAGCAGCAGCAGGAAGAGCCGCTGCAGCAAGAGCAGCAGCAGCAGGCCGCCGCCAGTGAGCCCAGTGTTCCCGAGGAGATCCTTGCGGCTGCAGCGTCCGAGGCCGGCGCGGTATCCGAGGAAGAGCTGCCGGCTGCCTCCTCGTCCCTGCAAACGCTGTCAGCTGCGTCAGTGTCGGCTCTGCCAGAAACAGCTGGGCCCCAGGCAGTAATAAACGGTGCCCACGCCTCTGCCGGCACGATTGGCATCCGCACCGCGCCCGTGTCTGCAGCGCAGTCGGTGGAGCCGTCATACACGGTGGACGGCTGGGAGGAGGAGGGTGATGGGTCGCATGCTGACCTGGCGCAGCTGCTGGCGGCCGTGGAGGTTGTGGCGGCGAGGGCGGCGGCTGATAAGGGCGAGGCGGAGCAGGCGCGGAATTCCTCGCGAGGGGGAAGGTGGCGCGAGCCTGCAGCTGGCCAAGCGCTGGCGCCTGAGGCTTCAAGGAGCCCTGCTGCAGCCGTGGAGGAGGGGTCATCGTTTGCTGTCGCGGTAGAGGAGGAGGACCAGCCGTGGGAGCAGCAGGAGGACGGTGATGAGCCAAGCTGGATACCTCAGCTGCTGCAGCAGCAGCAGCAGCAGCAGCAGCAGCAGCACAGAAAGTCTGAAGCAACAACTGCTTCCGCAGCGGCCGCGGCCTCGCTTTCTGAGACGGCGCCGTTGGTAAGGCGTGCTGGCAGCTGTGTTCCGGGCGCAGCAGCAGAGACGACGGCGTCAGAGGCAGAGAGCGGGAGCAAGGGGTGTGAGGGAACCGAGGGTCCGAAGCAGCAGCACGAAGCGCTGGCAGGCGGAGTGGCAAAGCACGATGCGGAATGCACAGCGACTGCCGGGGTCCCCCTTGTGCCGCCCCAGGCGGTAGCGCAGCAGGACCAGCAAGAGCACGAGGCAATCCTGCTGCCGCCTGCAGCAACAGCAGGCACCGCCGACGAGCCTCCGCTCCAGCTGCGCGCCCGGGAAGCTGCGGCGAAGGAGGCGGCGGCCCCTGCGGTGTTGCGACAACAGGGGCGTCTCGGCGGCGCTGTTGACCGCTTGGTGTCAGACACAATTCAGGCTGTCCTGGGGGAGGCAATCCAGCAGGCGTTTGAACTGTGCGACCGCCCCCAGCAGCAGCAGCAGCAGCGGCAGCAGCCCCTTGTGTTTGGAAGCATTGGTGACGACAGCGGCACCAGCACCAGCAGGAGCAGCAGCGCTGCGTCCAGCTGCGGCGTGCTGGAACGCAGCGCGCCAGCGGCGGGGGTGGCAAAGGTCGAGCCAGGTGCGGACGCCGACCTGTTTGCTGCCGTCAGCATAACTTCTTTTGACGCCGAAGATCTGCAGTCAGATCTGGAGGTGTGCGGCGCGCCCTCCACCGTCGCAACAGGAACGTTTGCTGGCCCAGTCAGTGATACATCGTCACGCCAGCAGCAGCAGCAGCAGCAGCCCGCCCAGCTGCCGCCAGGCGGCGTCACGGCGCCTGCGGTGGTCTCGGGGGGCTTTTCTCCAGACGCCGGAGAGCCAGCCGCGCCCTCCACGGCGCGGCAGCAGCCCGCGCTGCTCTCCAGGGGAATCGACCCGAACGGCCTCCCAGGGGACGAGTCAGCCAGCATCGGTGGCTTCCCCGGGGCAATGGTCACCCTGCGCCGAGGTGGCCTGGCTGCGTCCATGGCCGGCAGCGCCCTCGAGGGGGCCGAGGATGGCGCGGGCGGTGGCGACGAATGGCCGGGCCTGCCGCAGCAGCTGGAGGCGCCGCCGCCGGTGGAGCGGCAGCAGCCGCTAGAGCAGCAGGCGTCACCCACGCCCGCTGACGAGGACGACGAGTTTGACTGGGGCGAGCCAGTGATGTCAGACGGGCAGCAGTACGCCAACAGCGCTGCCACCGCCTCCGGCCCGCCCTCACCGCCGCCGTCCGGCCTTCCGGCCGGCCGCCGCACGCCGCCGCAGCCGCCCCCGCGCGTCGACGCGTCCCCCGCGCACGTGGAGGCGTACCTGTCCGCTGTCGCGGACGCCTGGCTGTCGGGCCACGGCGGCGCGCCCCCGCAGTGGCTGGCGGCCGGCAGCGAGCCGCTGAGCCTGGAAGGCTTCCTTGCCTTGGAGAGGTCGCTCGAGGACGCGCGGCGCGCGCAGCGGCCGGCACCGGGCGGCGGGAGCGCGGGGGGCGGGGCGGGCGCGGAAGGCGAGGGGGCGGCGCCCGCTGCGGACGAGGAGGACGACTCGCAGCACATCTTCCACAAGGCGCTCTATGATGCGGCGAATGAGGCGATCTGCCGCCTGTACGAGCAGATGGGGCGCCTGCAGGTGCGTTTTTGGAATCGTTGATGTGTGGTGGGCAGGGGAGGCGAGCGGGATTCTTGCCAATTCGAGTCCAGGCACGCCGAAATCCAGCGGGCCTTGTGACAGCTGGTTGGTGCGCAAGCCTGAATACGGA